TTTTAGTTTATGTAACTTTGATTTTACCTAAGTTGGCACTTTGAAATGGATATATTGCTTGTAAATTCTTCACTTTCAGTATCAATTCAATAAAATTAATTTATTTCTAGGCCATGAAATATTTAAACGCATGGAAAACTCTCGCAAGCCATATGTAGCAGCAATTCAAGGTTCCTGTCTGGGTGGAGGTTTGGAAACAGCTCTGGCTTGTCGCTACAGAATTGCAGTCAAAGACTCAAAGACTGGTCTTGGACTACCTGAGGTTATGTTAGGACTTTTACCCGGAGGAGGTGGCACTCAAAGGTATATAACATTTTTTATTTAAAAAGATTGAATAGTATTTTATTTTCCTGACTGATCCTGAAGAGTTAGTGATATTCTGCATTTTATCTAATCACTTGTACATTCTAAGGTTTGAAATTCATATTCAAAGATTATTAATGTTAGATAATAAACTGTAAAAATATGTTTTTATTTTAAATATGTTTATATGTTGGCAGAACACCTAAGCTCACATCAGTGCCTACAACATTGGACTTAGCATTAACAGGCAAAACAGTTAAAGCAGATAAAGCAAAGAAACTGGGACTTGTAGATTTATTAGTATCACCTCTAGGACCAGGTACATATTTATTACTTAAAATATCTAACAAAGTAAAACATAAAATATTTTTACATTGATTGGAAACTGACATAATGTTAAGTTTTTTTACCTATTATTAGACTTGCCACTCATTTTTTTATATTGTATTTAGTATACCTCCCAAATTCAGTCAGATGTCAGTCAGTCCAGATGGGCAGACGACCGGCTGTAAAAAAAAAACTTGAGGTTTATAAAACCTTCAGCACCACACCCACATGAGTAGTATAAAGCCAGGACTTGCTACTCATTGAAGATCAATTAATATTGTACACTTATTTATGTATATTATTTATTACTTGTTCATGTTAATAAAATATTGACTTTATTAGCTAAATTATTACTCAATCTACAGGTCTAGGTCAACCTGCTGATAACACAATGAAGTACCTAGAGAATGTTGCCGTACAAATTGCAAAAGACATTGCATCTGGTAAACTTAAGGTGGACAGATCTAAGAAAGGATTAGCTGACAAAGTAATGGCAACAGCTATGAAATGGGACTTTGTTAAGAACATGATCTTTAAAAAAGCCAAAGAGCAAGTCATGAAAGCCTCCCGTGGATTATACCCTGCACCTTTGAAGGTGAGATATTAGAAAATGTAAAGTTATTTTTAATTTTATTTTAAGTTGACTTGCTACACATTAGACAGCTCTTATTTGGCCTCCGTGACCATTACAGGCTTATTAGTTTATCTTCAAATACATTGAAATTTTGTTTAAATGGCCCAAAACTGTGTTTTTACTCACTTTGTAAATGAATTTTGATGATTGTACTTCTTTAGATTCTTGAAGTAGTAAGGACAGGTGTGGATAAAGGCCCCATTGAAGGTTACGAAGCTGAGGCACAAGGGTTTGGTGAGTTAGCCATGACACAACAGAGCAAAGGACTGATCGGCCTTTTCAGAGGTCAAACTGAATGTAAGAAAAACAGATTCGGTAAATCGAAAGTGGATGTCAAAACCGTAAGTAAATAGTATTTTCATCTTTAATATACTTTGATAGGTCTTCTCATATCTGCTAATATTCAAACTCCTTAATTTTGAAGTTTCTGATGATTTTTTTTTTAATTTTTATAATGCTTTAATAATTTTAATCGTTGTTTAATACTTAGATTGGTGTACTTGGCGCTGGTTTGATGGGTGCGGGCATCGTGCAAGTGTCAATAGACAAGGGTTATAATGTTGTTATGAAGGATGCAACAAATGCAGGCCTCTACAGAGGAGTGGGACAGATACAGACAGGCTTAACCAATGCTGTTAAACGCAAAAGAATTTCTGCGTGAGTATAGATAGAAGAATTTGAATTAATTAATATGATTGTCACTTGTTATTAAATTTTAAATCATTTTACATAAAATTACCTAACAGACTCTGAAAGATATTTGAGTGTATGCATGTTTGTATGTATGTCAATTATATAATTCCTCTGCGGGTGATAAAATTATAGTTAAAATTAAAATTATATTATAGGTAGTTAATTAAATTGTAGTATTATTATAATTATAGTTTTTGTTTAACAAATTGTGTTCTTAATTGTTTACAGATTACAAAAAGACAAATACTTATCAAATCTCTTACCGACTCTAAGTTATGATAATTTCAAGAATGTGGACTGTGTGATTGAGGCTGTATTCGAGGATATTAATATAAAGCACAAAGTCATAAAGGAACTGGAAGCGGTGATACCTGAACACTGCGTTCTAGCCACTAATACCAGTGCTATACCTATCACTAAGATTGCTGCTGGCAGTCGTCGTCCTGAGAAAGTTATTGGTAAGTTTTTTCTAAGATTTTCAACCATTTTATATAATACAAATTTAAATACAGAAATATTTTCATTTATGTTGGTATTCTTTGCTTTATTTTAGGGACCTTGATAGAAGATTATTGTAGATTTGCTAGTCAAATTAGCATATTTATTATAAATAGTATGTGTTTTGTGTAAGGTATGCACTACTTCTCTCCGGTGGACAAGATGCAGCTGCTGGAGATCATCCGGCACCCGGGCACAAGTGATGACAGCGCGGCAGCGGCAGTGGCGGTCGGCCTACGCCAGGGCAAGGTCGTCATCACGGTGGGAGACGGGCCTGGCTTCTACACCACGCGCATACTCTCTACCATGCTCAGCGAGGCTGTCAGGTTAACATCAAAACTAGCTACCGTCAGCGTAAAAAAAAACCTATGGGCTATTCTAAACTGTATATCTCTATTCCAAATTTCAAGCAGATTAATTCAGCCGTTCTAGTGTAACATAGTAACAAACGCCTGTATCCATCCAGTCTTGTTAAGATGTGCATTAATTAATTTTAGGTTGTTACAAGAGGGTGTCGACCCAAAGGACTTAGACAACATGACCAAACAGTTCGGGTTCCCAGTGGGTGCGGCCACGCTCGCTGACGAAGTCGGCATCGACGTTGGCTCGCATATCGCCGTCGATTTGGCGAAGGTAAATAAATATAGCAAGTATGCTTAACAACCAAACATAAATGCGCACAAAGCCACAGCAAGACATCTCATTCCATAAGAAATAAGTTTCACAATTGTCCATCGCTACAGGCTTTCGGTGACCGCATCAGCGGCGGAGACCTCGGCATCATGCAGGATCTGGTGAAGGCGGGCTTCATGGGCAGGAAGTCGGGCAAAGGTTTCTACGTATACGAGAAGGGCACTAAAAACAGAGACGTCAACCAGGACGCTGTTCAAATATTAAAGGACAAGTACTCCTTGGAGCCTAAAGGCGCTAATACTGTTGAAGATCAACAATTACGCATGGTTTCCAGGTAATAGTTAAGTAGATTAGTTTTTTTTTTTAATAAAAAATAAAATACTGATGGCTCATAGTTAAAATTTACATAAGACTTATGTAATACTGTAGCCCTTGAAGGTATCATAAAAAGACATAATTGACAGTATCAATGTATTTTTAGTTTGTATAATTTTTCTCGTTTTGTTGTTATGTATTTGTCGTCTTTTCCAGAAAAAAAGTGACCTAGGATATACATTATATTAAACATTTTCAGGTTCGTGAATGAAGCAGTATTATCGTTAGAAGAGAAAATTCTGCATAGCCCATTGGAGGGTGACGTGGGCGCTGTCTTCGGTCTCGGATTCCCGCCATTTACGGGCGGACCCTTCAGGTTTGTTTAAATATTATTATAATAAGCATTATGATATAATGCAATGAACAATATAACAAATATATTGTTCATTGGTTTATATCAAATGTTAACAACAGTTATTAATTATTTTTCTTACAGATGGGTTGATCAATATGGTGCTGACAAATTAGTTAAGAAAATGGAAGAGTTCCAGGGACTGTACGGAGCACCGTTCAAGCCAGCTCAGACTCTCGTCGACATGGCCAAAGATACAAGCAAGAAGTTCCATGCCAAGTAAAACATTAATTTATTGTATTGAGAAATGTTTGAAACTATATTACCTTATAATTCCCAACCATTGATTAATATTTTTATTAATATACATGTTTCAACTGTAAGTAAAGCTGGAAATTGTTTATTTTCTAAAGGATTATGTAAAAAGCTGTTATACTATTATAATGTAAGATTGAAATTTAGTTATACAAAGTAACCCATGTTAAAGTCTTCCTTCTTAATTTATTTAAGACATATTTTTTTATATTAGCACAGACTGAATTTATTGCTATGGTAAAAAGCTGAATGAGACATATATTTGTGATGTGCTGCTTTGTATTTAACGACTTTTTTCATATATAACATTCAATTGGATGGATGGTTAAATATTTAAACACCACAAGTTATTGTTCTATTTCTAGTGGTAGGTAAAAGAGATTGAAATATAAATACTTAAATATCTTTGTGGTAGAGATGATCTGAAGATATTTACAGTATGTTTTTGAATTTATTACAAATGCTGCCTTTGCTATTTAAAACTTTTATCATATGTAAGGAAAGATTATACTTGTCTTGTAATAAATATGTATATTTAAATGCATATACATTTTACATTATAGATATAGAGATTCGTGGTGTTATTTATTATGTAGAATGAGATTGTAAACTTTTGGAAAGTGCTTTAATAAAATTTATAAAGAAGAATTTGTTTTCATTCCTGTCTTTTTGCAATCTGTAAAAAAACTAATGTAATGTTTAAAAGAGCTTAATAAAAATACTAGAAGTGGTAAAAACAGAAGGTAAATAATTCAAATCATGTTTTAGTTGCCACTACATGAACAGGATTTATTAAGAAGACTTTTAAAAAAAAGGCGCCTAAAAAGGTAGAATGATTATAAAAAATCGATGTTTGTCTGTTCTTGGCGAGAAAGAAATGGCTCAATGGTCTCGTAGCCAGGCTATAAAATTGAAATCTTCAAAAAAAGACTTGTCAACTCTACTTGTCTCTACTACCACGTATATACAAAATAAGATTGTGGATTCAAATCATTAAATTGAATAAAAATGTGGTCAGAAAATAATTTATAGGAGGCGTAGTTTCTATAAAAGTATCACGTTATGTTTATTTAATGCGTGGTGGTCAATGTTTTTGTTCATAACAACTTAAGGTAGGTTATGTTATGTGTAATAAAGTTTACAAATGTTACATGAATAATTTAAAATAAGACAAATAATTAAATTGAAAAAGCAATTACAATTATTTTAATATCTGAAGTAGAAGAGATTCCTTTAGGAAGTTTTCCTGACATTAGTAATTTTAATTGAATCTAGCAAACAATTAATTTACTTTCACCTTTATACAAGGTTGTTTCATAAAGCAAAAAAAAATGTAAACGACCGTCGTATTATGAGTCATAAAATATGTATATATTGTAAGAATGTACACTTAAATTAATTTTACATTTTACAGGGAGAACAAGCATTGAAGAATAGTAATATGCCTTTATGATGTGCCTACTTTACTTAAGATTTAAAATTTCCAATTAATTATTTATTTTTAGTTCAAGTATCAATAAGTTTCAAGTAATATTTTTCATACTTTGTTATTACAACATGTGTTTCAAATCTAACAGCCTGCTATTGAATTTGAATTTGAAAAATCATATTCGTTTAAAACGTGTTTTAGAACATAGCATATACCTAGCAATCATTTTCATTTTGTTGCCTGTATTTATTTATTTTGAGCTTTGTATTGTTTTACCAGCTGTAGTAGAAGAATGGAGCGTACCTTTTTTGATTCATTACTGCTGTGCATCATTTTTGATACTTAACATAATTGGAAACATGATTTTTGGTATGTTTACTGATACTAGTGTTAGAGGAAGAATGAGTCATTTTCGTAATAAAGAATCTTGGGGTTATTGTTCTGAATGCGACTTCTTTCGTCCACCCCGTGCATGGCATTGTGATACTTGTGACTTATGTATTTTAAAACGGGACCATCATTGTACATTTTTTGCTTGTTGTATTGGCCACTTCAATTACAGATATTTCATCATGTTTACACTGGATGTGTTTGTCGCTATGTTATATGCATTTTATTATAATGTACAGTTTTTATCACAATTCATATCATGGAATCATGGGCTTATAATTATTAAATTTCTATTTCCATTGGCCAGTTTTGTCATAGATTTTGGTCCCGAGAGTGTTTATGTATTTTTGGTTTTGATTAACTTTTTGGTAGCATTGTTTACGGGTTTCTTATTTTTCTATCATATTAATAATGTTTTAAATGGAAAAATTACACCAGAAAATAAAAATTCTTTAAAATCTGTTCATGATAAAGGTTGGAAGTGTAATTTAATAGAGGTACTTGGTACCAGATGGCATTTGACTTGGATATCTCCATTCATTTACAGTCCACTGCCTGGTAATGGCTTTGAATGGGATATTGATGATAAAACAGACTAAATATTCTAGTGCCTTATTAGCTAAATTCATGATGTTGATAAAATGTAATTAATATTAATTATTATTATTAATATTTAATTAATATTGAAAGATTAAAAAATAATTATGGTTAATGATAACATTTTATTTGTTATAAGAAATTAAAGTACATTTTATTTTTTTATTGTATTACAAAATTAAAATTGACATAATTTTATATTCTACATTATATCTTTACAATCTTTGTTTACATTATATTATATTTACAATTACATAATAGTTGTTATATTGTATATTACCTATTGTCTGTCTGGAATGTTAGTATTTGGCAATAATTGCGCTATATATCTACTGCGTATTCTGTCAGATTGTGACTGTGTGAAATCACGCTGAGGCTCCTTTGGATCAGGTCTATCACGCGAATCAGTCACTTCTTGGTCTGAACTATCCTCATGCTCTAACAGATTTGCAGTTTCGTCACGACATTCACCTCTGAAAAAAAATGAATGTTGCCAAGTTACAAATAAATTTTACAAATTATCCAACCAACTAAATATACTTACGTGTCCGTCATTGAATCTCGCATGCTTGGAGACATATTAAGAACTCCATTGTTAGCAGAATCCACAATATATATTAATACGGCGGCAATAAGAGATACTAAAAAAACAACACCCAATTAAATTGTGTTTGAAATTCACAAAGATTTAACAAATTGAATTTTTCCTCCTTACTAAATAAACATCCTAGGAAAAACATTTCCAGCATCAAGTATCCATATTTGTCAACAATAACACCAGCCAGAATAAGAACAGTAGCTAAACCTAAGTTTTGGACGGCTTGACATCTGTAAAATTATGTAAAGTATTTCAGACAAAAAAAAGTATATAAAAATAAAATTCTCAAAAAGTCCTTACATTCCGTACGCTGTGCCTAATTGATTTTTGGGGACAATCAAAGCAACAAGTGGCCATAATCCGCTTGCTAACAATGAATATGAAATACCTAGTGAGATCTGAAACATTTAAACGAAAGAGTTTGAATCAACAGCCAAGCAATATAAAAAAAAAACAAAAAAAATTCTTACCACACCAACATATGGATTAACAAATGTGAAGGCCAACAAAAAGTGAGAGCCAATTGTCGTGATTGTGCTTATTATCACCCACATTACATTACGTCCTGTTTTGTCTATCAGAATGCCGAAGAAGGGACTCAAAGCAGCTGATAATAAATACACCATTGAGTTTACTGTATTGGCTTCTTGCGGCGAAAAATCAAATTTACGTTCAAAAAATAATCTGAAAATTTATCAATATATTAGTTTACAATGACATTATGTAAATTTTAGTATACATTATCCAAATTTCAAAGTGTTTGGGATTTTACTTACTTTCCTAAGGCTATAAACGGGAAAATTGCTAAATAATATGCCACACATATAACAGATACAAGCCAAAACACTCTTTTGAAGTGTAAAATATCTAAAAGTCTGAATGGTTCAGCGTCACTTTGTTCCTCATGTCGACCCAAAATCTTTTCAGCCCGGTAATCCATCCATCCAAGTATTAATCCACAAATGAGCGATCCAACACATGTGAATGATGCTAAAAATTATATAGCTTACAAAATTTTACATATTTGTCAATATTATATACAAATCATAAACTTATTTACCAATAAACAAAGCTACTCCAAGACGTTCATAGCCACCATAGTAATTTGCCACCCATCTATAAATAGGTTCCATTACCCAAAAGTTTACAGTACTTCCAAATCTAGAGAAAGATAACTGAAGGCCAAACACCATGTTCAATTCTTTCCCTTTAAACCATAACACCACATAGCTATTAACTGCCACTTGCAGAGACTCTCCTCCTATACTGGAGACATAAAGGAAAAGATTTATAAAAAAATTATCATTAGTTCAATAATTATTACAATATAAGTGTTCTTTATAAATATATAAAATAATATTTAATTGCAAAATGTTTTACCCAAAAATAAATCTTCCAAGTATCATAAGCCAATAAACATTTATGTAAACTCCAGTAGCAAAAACAATGGCTCCTATGGTTACAATGACCATATATATAATTGTACCCAATCTGATCCCAAAATATCTGAAAATTACAAATATTTTACATTATCTAGTTATATAAGCCATAAAAATATTAAGTAAATTGTTAATTAAAGTTTCCGCATGTTTATGTGGTTTTGAAGATATGTATGACCATTCCATTCTAAACTCCTGTAACTTTATGATATTGCACTGACTTTGAAGAATACGGAATAATTTCTGTGACATATTTTTCAAATTAAAAATCACTCTATATAACTTTGAAATTTGAAGACCTTCATACAATATATTTTTATTGAACATAGTGAGTCAGCATACACTTGGACTGCAAAATATGGCTCTGTTTAGATATGAAGATGAGTAATCAACGATTCTATTACAGAGTTCAATACTAAACAAATATACGCCCACAAATAACACAATCTTATTTCTTTATTTAAAGAATTTGTGCAATGTTTTGATATCCAAAAAATGTCTAGACATTGGAAAATTTTAATTTGTTAAAAATGCTTGACATGCATTTTCTTGTATGTCTTTCTTTAATACAACTCTTAAAACTTCGAAACAAATTATATTGAAAATATATATGTCATCAAATTTTAATAAGCAAGTAATAATTGTGCATTAAACTTTGAAACTATGTTATTAATAATCAGTAGGTAAATAAGGTCACAATAAACGATGCACACTTGTTTATCTTGACAAACATGATATCATATGTAACAAAATGTACATATGTATAATACAATTACATATTAGTATACAAACCTATCTATTAAATACCCGCCGATGAAACATAATATGACATTTGGCCATGAGTATATGGAATATAATAATGCAAATTGGGATGTATTTAAGTGGGAATCACCCTTAAAGTTATCGGCCAGTGCGCCAGGTGTGTCATAGCAAAAATAGGAACCTGAAAAATAAAATATTAGCTTTATGCCAGAAAGTCTATGTAACACTATCAACGCTATTACGATTTTCACATATTAAAATCAACTTGGGAAAATGGAATGTCTGTAGCATTGAATGTGTATATAATTTTATCATAATCAGATCAAGTTATATAAATTTTTGGGTACTAAATATTTTAAATATTATATTCAACACTGGTATTTTGGATAAAATAGTTATAAATACTTTAGTTCTATTAACCTACCTACTTTTCTTATTCCTATCTTTGAAATAATAAATACATCAAAATTATCAAACTTTACTAAAGAATTAGAAAAATTTCGAATGAGTCATTACATCTGTTTTTAGAGTTAACATACTAAGTTCAAAAAACAGAATATTCCTGTGTCGATATTTAAAATAAATATTGAATACACTAGAAATATAATAATTTTGAGAATGTTTCATTTCTATAACATTCACAATATATGTGTACCACCTATTCTTTCTATTCGAACGTACTTACCAAAACAAAGGAAGCACATTAATAAAAGTGCTAAAAACCTATGAACCTTATTTGCCGGATGCCACCACGAGTCTGGAGACAGCTGAACTGATCTGATATCACTGGATGTTGGATTTTCCATTTTTGAAAGTTCTGGATTAAATCACAATATTATATACTTAAATGTAAATAAACAAATAATACGTACAAAGAAGATCTTACGGTATACCTTTATCAAACTTTTTGTTCACATAAAGAGGCGCCTCTACTACAATTTCCTTCTACATTGTTGGAAAACTATATTAGTATTACACACCAGTTCGCACTATCGCTGTCTGGCATTATTATTAATACAATGAATCTTTGCAAATTTTTGATTGCAAATATAATAATCAGCCACACAGTACAGCCACAGGTTAAACAAAAATATATATTTGACATTGACGTAAGGCGATGATACTGACAGGTATCGTAGATTATATTAAAAAATAATTTAGAGGTGCCCAAAAATGTAAATGAAAATTTTTGATCAATCAGCAATTTCATCAAAAATATATTTTCCATTATCGAGTTGTCAAAGTATTTTATTGTAATCGCGGTTTAATTTTTTTTTTGTTGAGCAGTGGGCAGATAAAGACTGATGATGATGATGACGATGAAATTCTGAAAAATGTTAATAGCTCCAGATATCAAAATGTAAAGGCATTTAAGATGTGGTAAAAATATAAGTTATTATCTTAAAATGTGTTAATGTGAAAATAAAGTATTGCTATATCAAAGAAGCTTGAGGCGCCCTCAGAGGGTTTTATATGTTAGTCATTATTTTTACGTTTCGTAACGAAAATGCACTAAATATTTTAAACATGAATAAACAGAGGCAATATTGATAATTATCGATAATCACATGACGTGGGTAGGTCTCAGAAGTGGCAAAATGATTTGTCGCTCCATTTCATTAAATGTTAAGCAGGTGTCTGCCGCTGTGCTAATTTTTATATGATAAGGTATAATATATTAGCCTTTCTATTGTATCTTCCACCAGATGTTAGCGAATATTGTTAATTAAGTTATGCCTTCAGTGCAAACGTTGTAGCAATCATGTATGTAAATGTCAACAGATTTATTAAAAACAAAATCTATGCGTGAATTAAATACTACTAATAAATTGAACTCTAGGAAATTAATAGTCAATAATTCCCCTTCCTTAAAATGATAACATTGAGTAAAGATTTGTTTTCAAATGAATCACTTTTAAATTGCAATTGATCAATGATTTACTCCACCAATATGAAAACATCGTGATAGCTGCGACGCATGATTGCTTGTAGCTGCCGCTCATCTGAGAGTGATGTAGATGAGTAAAGACGTGCAGTCGGGTCGCGTGGTTGCGTCGGGGAGTGCTAGAGTGCGCAGGGCGGGCGGGGCGCAGCGGGCGGCGGGCGGCGGGCGGCTGAGGCGGCAGTGCTCCGCGCGCAGGACCGGCGCGGCGTTCACTCGGCGGCGCGCCACGGCGCGACATGCCCAGCTGATGTTTATTTATACCGCGAGCTCGGCGGAGGGCGCGCGCGGGAGGCCCTCCCCTCCGCGGCACCACGGTTCCGCGTGATGCAGCCGAGCGAGCCAGCCGAAACCGCGCACGCCGCCGGCGGAAACCCCCCGCAGCGGGGCCTTAACGGCGGCCGTTTCGATTTCGACGATGGCGGTACTTACTGTGGCGGCTGGGAGGACGGCAAGGCCCACGGCCACGGAGTGTGCACCGGGCCGAAGGGCCAGGGCGCCTACTCCGGCTCCTGGCACTTCGGCTTCGAGGTGTCCGGCGTCTACACCTGGCCCAGGTGAGATAGTGTCTTTTCCCGGGCGTCGCACATGCCCGAAATCCGCGTCCGAAGCCGCTCCAAAAATAGTCTGCTATTAATAATTGAGTTCGGTGTTTCGCTAGAAAACGCGTGTAACGGCAGCGGTGAAAGTGTCTATGGTTCGTTCGCAGATAAATTATTCATATCGATCTGTGGCTACTGATAACACAGTGATAACAAAATTCGTGTTAGGTATCACAACAGGGACACATCGGCCTCGACGTCAATTGACCTGTTGTCATTGTTATGGACGGATCCATTAAGATTCAATAACATAACGTGAAACAAAATGCGAGCATATAAATCGAGAATAATAAAGAGAATATAAATCGCAATTGAGGGCAATATATTGCAGCTGCTCAATCTCTAGTCACGAGAGCCTACATGTGACTATTAGATTCATCCACTACTATAATATTTATCCAGTAAAAACGTGATAGTTTTCTTTAGGCACGGATCTAATAACTATGACTTTTACTTTTGCTCACGTGCATTACGCTGTCAAGTGACGGTTCCGGAGCTTTCAGCGAAACTTCTGAATACGATTTTCCTTAAAATAAATGCTTACAACTACGATTGTTCTTTAAAAACCCTCTATATTACTTTCGAATGTACTGGGCGGAGGAATTGTAATCAGGAATTTCGTTAAAAGTTGTATCACCTACGTAAATTTTCACTTTATAAGAAGAGCAGATAACAATAGGGTAGAAGCGTACATTATTATTTTTTAAATAATAAAAAATAAAACAAAGTTCAGTTCCAAGTACTTTAACAATACGTTATATTAACGTTCGTTATGAATATTTCTAAATATGATGCATGCAATAAATTCAAACAATGTAGCTTTTTTAATTTTTGGATGAAAAATAAGTAATAATTGCTTCTTTCACTTTTAATGTAAGTGCCCTGCAGGTGAATGAGATTCTGCTAAGTTTTTTATGTTAGTCAGCTAGCGCCTGCTCCATCGTAACCTAGTTTCCTGGGGTCAATGCCCCATCCGTATACGTACAACCCGGATGTGATTTTTATCTGATTTTAGTCTTTTTAAAGCCATACGAAAATTTCATAATGCACATTATAGAAATCAAAAGAAAAAATCAAAGGAACCGAGAGAAATGTGCAAAGATTGTGCTAAATAAAAATCCGTAATCGGTGCTTACTCCTCAAAACGGACTTGAGTATTATTTTATGTTACAGTAATAATAAAATTTATTTATTTTATTACATTACCTTTGTAATTTTATACGTAACATGAAACTCGAATATCTTATTCATGTTGATTACATATATGTATTTCCCACAGCTTATTACATCCTGAATATAAAGGAAAAATAACATAGAAATGACGTATAACTTATTTTAATCTGTTTTACGTAATACGAGATAAATTATGGTAGAAATTATCCTAAAAAGGTTAATCTTGCTTGAGCAACTGTGTTTCCCTTTACTGTAACTAACTGTTATTTACATTTTAAAATTAAAAAAAACAGAGTAAATAGTGTTATTGTCATTATGTCTATATTTTCATATGCATAGATAAATGCAGCGACTACGTAGACTTAAAACTTAAACTTTCTGAACTGATATACATAATTAAATGGCAAAAATTCTTACTACGCAGCAGATACGAACATACAAATTGCTGTTTAGTAGCGATTATCCGTAAAATCTCTCTATTTGTTTTATGTCCACACATGAGTATAGAGTCGTATAATATTAATACTACGAAAATAAACTAAAACTTATATTACTGACATTATTTTTTAGACGTTTTAAATGCTGAATTATTACATGATTTATATTGCAGTTCAATAAATTTATATGTGGCCGATAACCTCAAAATAATTTAGCAGTAGTTAAATAAATAGAATTAAAAACAAATAAGCGCAAAGTATGACTGACTTAATAATTACAGTATGGAAAATTGAAGTTGTTTTTTTACACCTTAGTTTGGTTTATTCAATTTCATTACCAAAACTCTTGAATTATAATATATTGTTATTGCTTTTTTCATGAAAATGAGAGTAGTTTGTTAATTGATTTTGCTAGAAATTCGCTTATTTCTATAAACATTACATACGTTTCTATATATATATATATATATTTGTTTCATCATTGGAAACCCACTGTAGACAACCCTTCCCTACCGTAGGACTGTGACACAGCTAACTATTTCTTTTATATAATTGACATTTAAGCAAGCTATCAGGTGTATCTAGATTAATCTAGATTTAATTAGACGATTTCAAACAGAATAAAAATATAAATTATAGGTTAGCTATTAGCAGTGCCAAAAACTTTCAACGAAAAAGAGGAAATTGGAAACAGTTCAAAATTGACGTGGGCCTTAATTTAATGCTACTTTTTTAGACAGAAGTAATGAGTAAAGTAAAAAAATTGTTACTTTTTCGTTTTATATGGCATAACCCTATTTCTAGATCAAGACAGCACAAAACAAAAAAAAAACTCCCGGCAACCAGCTACAGCTACATGCACCTATGTAATGAACCTAATATTTACCTTTAAATAGAATAATAGTTAGATCATTTTTTTAGCTGAACAAAATATAACTAGCTGTCGCCCGCGACCCCGTCTACGCGTGATTAAAAAAAAGTTAATTAGTAGCATATGCATTCTAGACTATTTTATACATTTGTGCCAAATAAAAAAAATAGATGATAGCCGATTCTCAGACCTACAGAATAGTATATAAAATTTCACTCGAGCCGCCGTTTCGGAGCAGTATGGTAACTAAAATTGTGAAATGAAAATGTTATATAAGATAATATGAATTAGCTTCAGCAATGTGTTATCAGTATAATTATCCGTGTCTTAAAACCAATACCAATATTCTATACTCAATCTCTCGGGATCTTTTCAGCATTTAAAACTAACACAAGCTTATTGGCTTAGTAAATATTTCCTGAGTATAATTTTGGAGAAAGAATTTTTTTGCAATAAATTAAATACTCAATGAAACATTTCGTAATAACCATTAATAGAGTTTCGTGCTTCTTATTTGAGCTTAGAAGTCTAAGAAATAAAAGGGATTAAGATACTGAAAGTTGTTTCCAACAAACGCTTATTCGCATTGAAAAATATAAGTACATGTTGAAATATTTACCTAATCCCTTTATATACAATCTGTGTATAAATGACGTAGATGTTCAATCGATTTGTAAAAGCATGTAAAACTTTTGACCTATTTTCGGTTTCCATTGATGCATTTTAGATGCACTCATACTCGTAAATATGCTGTGCTGAAATCAATGTTGCTTATATCATTTTATTGTTATCTGCTTTGATTTCATGAGGAATAAATGAAATTTACTTTCCATTACACCCGAACATCGATGATATTTATGAATCAGCTTTAAATAAAAAGCTTTTAAAATAAACTGCACACAATGTAATTTTTAGACGTATACCTACTTTTTAACTTTAACAATGTTATTTTGACTTATTTAACATATATTTTAGTTTATTTTACTAAACATAAGTAACAATCGCATTAGAAATTACGATTCCTCTAATAAGACGTATTTTATGATATTTTTATTCATTCATTATGTTCTCCGTAGATCCTGTATGCCTAATGCAAGAGTGTATTACGATTTTACGAAGCAACCATACTTGGTACCTACGTGTAAATATAACGATGACCAAAATAAACTAATTAACGGGCGTTTAATATTCACAAAGAGCAACCCATAAGGTTGATTTATCATGAGAATATCCTAAGTAAATTTCATAATGTGTTTTTGTTGTTGTTAAAATGTTCCAACATGCACAATTCAGTTACAGAAATGGAATGACTAAATCTTAGGGAACTCTTGTGAATACCACTCGACACCTTTTTTCGTTACTATGGGAACACTTGCCTTATAACCAAGGAGGTTAGTTCTCCGTTCCTTTCTCTTTAATTGGGTTACGTTGCGAGTTAGTGTCGAATACTGTTACATTTGTAAGTTCCAATTATTTTTTACAAACTTACTATTATTACGATAATAACTACGAAATTATAGTTAAAATATAGTAATACAAAATAAATAAGATCTGTTATGTGAATATCAGCTTGAAATATAAATATGAATATTGTCTATGATTATTCGTAGAGGCACTAAATTATTAATATATTTGATTGACAAGAACTTGTATGATTTCATATTTAACGCGTGTTTATACCATGTGAATCATGTCAGATCTGAAAAGAAACACGACGCACCAAACCTTTGTTCTCCTTATTATGTTTTTTGAGTGAGAATCGCATTTGCGTTTGTCTGTGGATTGTAAATTAAACTATTATTCAATAATGTTTTGTTATAAAAAAAAGTAAAAAGAGCCAGAAATGCAAAACAAACAATTATTTAACCGCTTATACGCGAGAGAATAGGGATTTTAGAGATTTACAGATATGAATACTGTCCGCAAAAGACAACACGTACAAAAAACTACTAACTAAACGCTCAATTTTCAAAACTACTTACAAAATGCTATTTCTAAATAAACGTGGAATTTTTGTGTAGAACACTTTGGCCTTCCACCTCAGAACACATTTCATTGTCATCCGCTTGACAGCGGCTCAGCGAACTGCACGGCAGCTGGTGTGTCCCGCATCGCCGTGAAACGCAGCAATTTGTAAATAGACCGATGAAGTTGAATTTACACTAAGTGGTGAAATAATTAATGATACAAAATAAATTATAACTTAAAACAAATAGCGTGCACGCGCGATGTATTTTTCCCTTGGGACAACTTTAGTTCCTATAATCGTAGGTTTCCACCACCTTTACAAAAATTGATGTCACATTTGGCAAAGAAAAATGTTGATAACGATATGTTTTTGTATTGGTGTGTCGGCAATAACATCCCACGGTAACGTAAAAACAATAGAATAATGAACAGATAAACTTGTTCTTATTTATTATATTTTTTTAGAAGACTTAATGCGCCAGAGTTAGATATAAACGCTGATGTTGATTACATATATCCATATTGCTTACGAGTATATCGTAGTTGTTTAACTTTCAAGAAAATATTTAGGTTCCGAGTTTCGTGCAAACCTTTCGTTTTTATAAAGTTTAAACCGCTCAACATTAAACCTTTGAGCGCTTTACGTAATGATAATTCCACAAAACGTTTATGAAAATTTAACACAAACAGACGTATTAATGACTAATGAGTTGTGTGTAGATACAGAAATGCCACGTCACACGCGGCATGCTTGTTTTAGAAACGAAGTATATTTTTGTTCGTCGAAGATATCGTTTGCCATTGTAAAGAGTACGATACAATACTAACGACTGCATATTTTAGCAAGATTTGAAACGTAAATGATTGAATCATGTTCAATTTGGTCGGGTAAGGTTAGTCTGGCTCACGCTTGTCGGTTCGACTTGCAATATTCAGTTACGCTACCCCAGAATGTGTAACTGGTGCGTTATAAATAGAGGTCGGTCGAGTTGTTCGGTCCGCTACTACTCATGTGCAGAACAGACCGATCCATTATCTTACCGCAACTCATAAAAACACGATGGAATTTCAACGTTGTTCTCAACTCATATTTATATACAAACACGATTTATTTCCTTTTCAATAAATTATAATTGAAACGTTATTATCAATAGCAAAACAGTTCGTATTAATTCAAACTTATTACTGCGAATACCACTGTTTGATACAAGATAATCACAGCTTAGTCCAACAGTCTCGTCTTAGTTAAAATGTTATTTGTATTAACTATTGTCACTCTCAATTCGCTGCTATTAATATTCGCAGTATATTCGCATGTAACCACATGACATTTGCTATATACAATTTGATTGGCGGTCATTTAAAACGATGTTTGAAATACGACATACTTGTACATAAATTTAATATAGGTTCCGGTGTAATTTTTTTTATAAATTTGTACCTAAACCTAACCAGAAACGACACACAAAAGGTTAAGGGCCCTGTCATTGTGATTACGATATAGCTAAATAGCTACCGAAACTGGTAAAAACAATCTTTCTTGTAACAACGCCAAGACATAGAACTGCATACTTGTAAATTTTTTGCGTAATCACGAATATTACACTTTCTTGAACACGCCCTTGTTTACTTATCCATGTAAATAGTAGTTTTAAATATATTTTTAATAGATAATATACCTACAGATCATATGGCAATAAGATTTGCTAAACAAGGGTGATTCTTTAGTCGTATCTTCACGAACAATGAACAATAATGTTCAGAGAAGTGTAATATAATGAACTATCTGCTCATTTATCGCATATAAAACAAAGCTTCTTTATAATAGCTGTGTCATCGGTAAAGGATCTGTCTTAATACGTATACGAAATAAAAGAACTGCGTAATTTTAATTTAATCCGAAGTATGGCTGATAGGATAACTAAAAACTATGTAATAGCAACAAAAGGAATTCACGTAGCACATCTTTATTATGTTTTGACATGTTTTACATATAATTGCATCTTAAAATTGTCCAAATGATAGTTTTACAACGTTAAAAGAATACACTAATATTTTTATAGAAATCGAGTACATAAATCGTAAATACATAAATCTGCGTAGCACTCTGTCTTGATGGTTACGAAAATTTCGTAGCATATTCGTAGAGCCTTTTCCGATTTTTTTGGGACTTTAAAAAATAAAATTCCTTAACACAACCAAACTTAAATTTATTTAATTCTTTCAGTAAAAAGTAAGCAATTATTAAGTTTTAACTGTCTGTCTTTTAAATAGAGAGTTAACACATTCTCTACTTTGTAGCCATAAAACACGAGTTAGTTATTGCTACGACGATTTATAGTTCTTAAAACGAGCGTTCTATTTATATTTAAACCAAGTGTTTTATAAAATGTCAGTGTTAGGATTTCGACTACAATTAAAATGCTGAGTGAGCGGCAATCAAGCCCGGAGTCATTATCATGTCTAGGTCAACTGCGGTAACCTTAACAGAACTGAAAATCGTATCGTTGAAAATGAAATTGCGTCACCATTCGCGCTTTACTTTTCCCGCTCGAGTTAAATATGTTTTACTTATTACTGCATTACATAAGAAACCTTTCTGTTATACTTCATAATGATATATTTATTGAAAGTGATGTATTCTTGAATGTTACTCCTGACTTGATTATGCGTATTAAATTTTTATTGAGTTTATTAGTGGCTGTTCCTGCCCAAAAAAATTGCGCTAAAACATAGCGTTATCTCAGTTTTTTCAGAGAGTATAAGCGAGAGACCACTATTGTTGTGTAAGTGTTTCGGCAGTGGGAATCTATGGTAGTTATGAGGTTATGACTTGAGTATGTTTTGATCATACCTTGTAGTTCTTGTAAATTTTCCGCTTTTATAGTATTCCAGAATTGAGATTGAATTTTATTAAACCCTTTATTTCTTTCTAGTTCATGAAAACAGTATAACAAATAGAACGACTTAAAAGTTCTACATGGGTCAAGACTCTTTAAGCTAAAAGAATTCGCGGCACAGAAAACGTAGAGCTTTACCGTATTTAATTTACATATTATATTTGACACGTTTTATAAGCAGTTTAAGTATACTATCGCATACTTTTTTCATCGACGAAATATTCATTCGACGATTTAATATTTATAACCTTTCAAACGAGGACGTATATAAATTGTGCTTGCCAATAAAAATCTTCTTTAGTGTAATCCGATCAGGCATTTGACATGCGCATAAGAAATACATATAAAAAATTTAGGGAGATTTTTCAGGATACGTTTTTTGACGCTAAATATCTATAATTGTAATTTTGATGTTTACAGCGGCAGTGCATACGAGGGACAATGGCAAAACGGCAAGAGACATGGGTTGGGTGTGGAGACGCGGGACAGATGGCTGTACAGGGGCGAATGGACGCAGGGCTGCAAGGGTCGCTACGGCGTTCGACAGAGCACGACCAGCAACGCAAAATACGAAGGAACATGGGCCAACGGATACCAAGACGGATACGGATCCGAAACCTATGCGGATGGAGGTCAGTTCACTCATTCTTGGCGACAAAATATAAAAATATCAACGAAAACATTTTAATCCACGCGACCATGGCATTATTATACAGAACAATTTAAAACGAAACCACAAAGATTTTCACGAACGTTGCGTAACGTACTGACGGATTGTCGGTGAATAGTTTCGTTACTCATTCCTGAGAACATTATTTAAGCTTTTGTTATTTACGTTAAAGTCAATATGTGTACTCTAAACATAAATTAAGAGTTCTTAATCGTCTAAATGTTAAATCTCATTCTGAATTATCATCTAATGACCCACATTATATACCTACACTGCGCTAAAAGAAAACCTTTCAGCTTACGCAATGTTTTCTACGCGGAAACAAAATGGTTGATTTAGGTACAAAAATAACATAACCAATGCCGCTATATGTATGTATATTAATAATAAAGAATGATTTATATGTTACGTATAAAATATTTCGATGCATGGAAAATCACACCAATAAAGATATATTGAATAGTTAAATTCTACGTCACTATGGATGCGTGCCCTGTTCGTGCAACACCATAAACAACGTCACGTATGTAAGTCTTGACGCCAATCTGTTGAGTCATGGCCGCATTAAGATTTGTCATTCATGAAAGAGAGGCGATGTTGTTATTCGTTTCCTTTAATATCAACGCTCATTAGTCATTAGCTATATCCACACGACTTTGAATAAACTTCACTTTTAACAGGAAACGAATAACTTTATGAGGATTACTAATACGTGAAGGAACACAAGGTGATAGTAAAAGAATTACGCTGTGAACACATAAACAATTGGTCTGCTGGGTTCGTCAGCTACTGGATCGTGTTCGATATTGTATCGGGATTTTTCAGCAGTTTAGTGTGTGAATGATGCGAGTGCGGTGGCCCTGCAGGCCGCAGCCCGCCCCGCGCCGCGGCCCTCGCGCCTATATATAGCGCAGGCACGCCCGCTCCCCGCCCCGCCCCGCACCCCGCAACCCCGCACCACGCACCGACACACAATCGCGTCCACCGCTTATTTTATTCCACTATAAAAAAAGTCTTTGCAGTCATTACACTGACCCACTAATGGTGATCGCTAAATTAACAATTAATTAAACCCATCTATTTTCGATACTAGTACAGTACAATTAGTCGCAAGACAGACACTCAAAACAAACAATCGCCAAATTTTGTCTCCTTGCTTATGAAAATATCGCACTAAAATTATTTAGCCCTTTAACGCCTGAAAAACTAAAACACAATATCATGATAATGTTAATGCATTTTCGATTGAAAGCTGTCACGTAGAGCTTATAAAGCTTATCACAAGATAAAGCTCCCGTTAAATTATGGTACTACCACATAGCATAACATCATATATATATATATATATTATTAATTTATCAAGACGATTCAAACGAGTCCAAACTTGTTGAGGTAGTGTCGTTCCTATGGTTACCTTCCAACTCCTTCATAAGTTCAGCACCGTATCATGACATATCGTCACTAGAATTAAACTTGTTTATGAATTGATTGAGCGATGATGATGAAATATTACGTAGACATACCTATTGCACATTTATTTTGGACTCAACAGAAATAGAACCAGGACTCATTTTTCTTTTTCTCACCAGACGACCAGGACCAGACACACAATTTTACAGGCCCTAACTACCGCATTACATTCGACCACAGTCTTAATATATCCGTTACTTCTTGCAGGAACCTACCAAGGGCAATGGATGCGGGGCCACCGACACGGCTACGGCGTGCGTACGTCGGCGCCGTTCGGGCTGGCGTCGCACAACCGCGGAGGCGCGCGCGACCGTGGCTCCCTATCCTCGCTGGTGGAGGCACTCGGCACGCCCGACCCCTCCGACCGCCGCAACCTGCGCGTGGACGACGCCCGGGGCGGCTTCGTGCTGCAAAAGAGCTCCGACGAGCCAGCCGGCAGGCGGGGCTCTATCGTCGAAAAAACTAAAAAGGGCTTGTTCCCCGTGAGTACTTCACTTTCTCGACGGTCTGTCCTAATAAGTTTGTAAGGCATTCTTCATTATTAGAGTCGAAAGCTTTTTCGTATTTGTTGGCATGACCAGCAAATCAAGTATCATCACAGTCCATACGTTGGATTAAAGTGAAACATTAGTACCATCATCCTGAAAGATTTTAATGGCAACTTTTCACTATTCGCAGTAACTCGAATGACTGTCTACATCTTGAAGTAATCGTAAAAACCAAAAGTTAGCTATAGTTATTTATTAAGGATTAATTTTTGTTGTTAGAACTTCCGTAAGCGGCGCAGCACGGGCGAGTTGGATAAACGCGGCACGGGCTCGGTGCGATCAGGCGGCTCGGCGGGCTCGGCCTCATCCTGGGTTTCGTCCGTCGAGAGCTCTCACTCCACCAACACTCGTGGCTCGCACCATACGCACTCCAACACCAGCTTCATTGTAGAGGTGCGTTTCACTTACGTCTGTAACATTTAGTACACTCGGTGCGTGCTGGGATGTTAGCTAACTGTAATCTAGACAAATAAAGTGAAAGATTATTGTTTATTTTATTACAAATGCATTCAATAATAATACTAATTTAATTGTTCTGATGAACTTTAAATAAATTAAAGGATTCTGTGCGATGTTTGAGAGTATTCTAAGCTTCATGTTATTTATTTTCAGGATGAGCACTTGGATCCGAGTGTAACCGAAACATATATGGGCGAATGGAAAAACGACAAGAGAACTGGTTTCGGCGTGTGCGAGCGAACCGACGGCCTCCGCTACGAGGGGGAGTGGCTCGCCAACAGAAAGTACGGCTACGGCGTGACGACCTTCCGCGACGGCACCAGAGAGGAGGGGAAATACAAAAACAATGTGCTCATCACAAGTCAGAAGCGCAAACACATGTTCCTCATGCGGTCGGCGAAGTTCCGGGAACGCGTTGACTCAGCGGTGAACGCGGCGCAGCGCGCCTCCAAAATAGCTTTACAAAAGGCCGACATTGCAATCTCTAGGTTCGTATTTTTATCATTGTTATATTTTATATCATGTAAACATACTTGCCCAAACAATATATTCATTTTTATACTAATTTTATCAAAATGTTAAAAGTGCTTTCCCTATAAGCTATCCTATGGAAAGGAAATATTATGACATAAATTAGTAACGCTAACAAAGTAAAAATAAAGGATAATTAAAAACTTTAATGAACTCAACAATATTTTTTTTTATTTTTAAATAAAACTGAATTATAAAATTGCAGAACGGCTACTGCGCGAGGTAAAGCGGAGCAGGCGGACGAGTCGGCGGACCAGGCCAAGGAAGACTGTGATATAGCGCAAACCACTGCAAAGCAATTCGCCCCGGACTTCAAGCACCCCGGCTTCGACAGAATAAGATTAAGAGATCGATATAGGCAAAAGACGTATGAAACGCAAAGTCCCGCACCCGTTTCACAAGAATCTGATAAAATCCTAGAAGGAAAGAGCATTCCAAATCATATCCCTCCGACGCATTCGCAGCTTCCTCAAGCTAATAAAATTCCTAACGCTATAAACTCGAGAAGACCTTCAACGCAATATCCTAAAGCGGTGCCCCCTATGGACCCACGACTCGCCAATAGCACTAATTACGGCGCCGATGACCGAACACTTGGACCTCCTTACGACCCTTATTATAACTCTAACAAAGAAAATTGGGGGTCCCCGGTCAACTCACCGGCTCAAATTCAAGACAAACAAAGGCAATATATGACGAATGAGCCCTCGAGTGGATACAGCGTGCCTCAGCCGGGAGGACCACAACCCCCTTCTATACCATATCGAAGACAGGATTCTTTGCAACCACAACAAATTACAGATCAATCTCAGCAATTTCCCAACCAGGGAAGAAGGCCATCTATAAGACCAACGATGAACCAGCGCGCTCCACCTCAGGAATGGAACCCGACTCACGGAATTATCCGGAGACAAAGTATTCTCGCCCAACCCACAAACGATCCACAAAGCAACACCTACGTCGATCCCGGTACGGCGTCCTACGGCCGAAATGAGCTTCGTACCGGTGTTTTTCATTCAGAGGGACCACACGACCATCAACGACCCGCTGTCGACGCTCAAGGTTACCGGCAGGGACCCGATTCCCAGGCCTATCAGCAAGGGCCGCTCGACCAACAAGGATACAGACAGAGCGATCAACAAATGTATCGCCAGCCGATGTCTGATCATCAACAATATCGACAGCAAAACTTGCCTCCGGAACAAGACATCGTGAATGGAGATCGCGAGCCTCGTCCGTTTACCGCGCGACCGTCTATAGATTACTTCGACCACTACAAGAGACCTCCCAGCAGAGATTCGAGCGTGGACCGGTACGGCAGACGGTCACGCCAACCGTCTGTGGAGGCCGCGCCGCCCGGCGGCGGATCCCGCTCCGGATCGATAGCTCCGCAACCGCTGTCATCTTCACGACCCCCGTCACGCGCGGCGACTCCCGCAGGGAACGGCCACTTAGCATCGGGTCGCGGTTCCCGAGCGGCATCAAGAGAGCCCCAAGGATTCGAGGACTCGCTACTGCGCAAACGCACACTGGGACAAGAAATAACACCTTCACCTTACCAACCGAAACGGACTGAAAGTTTATACGTGGCACAAAATGCTACGCCTCCCCCACCCGCGCCGATGGGCGGAGGAGGTGGAGGTCGTAAGGTAAGTTTTCATAAATATTCACACACCTTAAAAGGGACAGTACAGCTGGTAAGTAAAATACTGAAAATTCGCAAACAACTTATTCCAGCATGGACACAATTATAATCTTAAAACTATGCGCTCATTTTAATAATCTACCCATAACATCGTCATTTATAGTTTTGTCATCGATACAAACAAAAGGCGATAACGTCAACGTAAAAGGCAATGTAAAATACCTCTTCTAGCCTGATGGAACACCGTAAGAGCTGCATCGAAATCGTTGAGTTGTCATATAAATAAATATTTTAAAGGAATGTACCAATTGATGAGTAACCTAGTGTTCTATTTTGATTCCGTTAATTATAGAAGATTAACATGAGGCGTAAAAATGTTTGGGTTCGAACATTATTGGACAGCGTCACGGCCGGCTTGATTGTGTTATTTTTAAAACATTTAGCCAGATTTTTCTGAGCTCATCGTTATTTAGTTTTACAGGAATAAAAATTACGTACCTATAACTAAAATCAAACATCTTGCACGTTCATTTCTTTCTTTAATACAGGAATAGCAATCTTACGATGGAGCTTGAGTTGAAAGCTTTGAATTGAGACGTTACAGTGGCGAACTAACAATCACTGATTGACGTTTACGGCGGTGTCTCATTAGTCGTTAGCGCTCACATGCATTATGTAACAACGTAATTTCATTAGTCGATCAGTCGGTCGTTATACAGTACGGGCTAACGACTAATGATGGGTCAAGTTCAAGCAAGCATCGTACGGGGACCCAGTTGACAAGCATAATGCGCAGTAAGGAAAAGTAATGACTGTCACCGAACACACGCAGGTCCTAACGACTATTGAAAACGGTTCTCGCATCCTCACTTCTAGCTGTGTACACCTCTACATTCATATTTGAAGTTCTCCGTGTCGCGGACGATTCTTCCCTCAGCACGACATATCATGCTAACCTTTTGCTTTATTACTTTACCACTGGTGCTCCTATCAGACTTCTTATATTATAATAAACTCGTTTCGTAGCTTATTCATTTGTGTTCTAAAGTGTCTTATAATTAGTATTTCCCCCACATGTAAGTACTCTTTTCATCCATCTCTTTAACTAAAATTTGTTCAATAGTTTGTATTTTATAATCCATTTTATTTTATGCTTAGAGTAGAAGAAAAATGAGTGTGTCGATAAAATGATTATCTATTTATAGTGATAAATACTTAATAAATCAAGAATAATTCCATTACAATACTGAAGAAGACGGCGTACCTAACCGTAGCACTTAGAATATTTCAAAATTTCCTGGTTTATATTTATAACAATGAAGCCAAATACGAAAATTATAGATTTTTCGTCAGATACAGTCATAAATTACATACACATATAGAAAATTTTACCAGTTATTGTTATTGTAAATATTGTATCTAATTTTTTGGGTATCTTTCCTCGGTTTTTCTTTCGTTATACAATTTTAACGAACCATTTAAAGTCAACCAAAATATTCGACATAGAACTATTATTTATTTCGTTTAAATAAATTATTTCCTTTTTAATGGAGTAGCGCCTTGTCCAAGAGTTTTAAATATCTACGAGAATGTATATTTATGGTGGTATTGTACACAGTAGATTAAGTAATACGTAACAAATAATACGAAAAGTTGTTGCCTACAGTTTCGATACAAAAATTTTGCGGTTATGTTTTGCAAATGTTATCGCGTGATTCGGCCACCGGCAAGGAGATACAATCGTGCGTCTGTCTCTAGCGTAGATATTTTGTGACGACGGCGGGCGGCAGTGGGCGGCGGGCGAAGCGACGAGCGCTCAGCCCGTTCTATTTCTAAATCGAGACAGTCATTCGCAGTGGCTTTCCGCGCATCATCTCGTTGCATATATAAATAGAAAAAATAATCAATACCAGATAAAAGATAACAAATAGGTTGTTACAGTGTTACAAAATCATTAGAAAAATATTTGAAGTAAAAATTTCATGAAAACGGAAAAGAATAAAGTAACGGACAAATAGTTAAAAATGATGTGGTATCAAGGGGAAGAAGATGAAGACGATGATCTTATGTGCTCGCCGGCTATACTGGCGCGGCGGGCCTCCGAGAGCTGGATCAATGTACCTCCCGTCGAGGTAATTTATACGTCGAGGTAACACGTCTGTAGTCTACAAATATATTACCGACGAGCTTATCACATTGCAAGCTAATCTGCCAATTGTTACTGCAAAGTATTGCACTTTCTGATATCTATGGTTGAGATAAATATAAAAAAAAGCTAATACGAACCAAAATGAAATAATATCGCAGTTTACTCAGATATCGCCTAGAAGTCGTGTTTATCAAGCTTTTCCTTAATATCGAAAGCAATAAAACTTCGTTGCTTGATAAAACTAACATTATGATACTAAAATTCTCTATGCTTACAAAATAAATACAGATTATTATTTGAAATGTGTACTCAATGCCAAGTATTTGTAACATCTTCATGTGCTGCTGGATCTCTCCGGCTTTTGATGTAGGATGTAACATTATTTTAAACACCGGATTGAGAATTGGCAAATTAGATTAGTAACATTTTTTCTTTATTCCATTATGATTAACCTTATTACAAGCAAGTTTTAAGTACCTACATTGTGAAAGAATCGTCTTTCCGATGTACGATTTGCCGGTCAATGTCAGGTTGGAAAATTCAAATATCTTGGAACTTTTTAAATCTTTGTTTTCGGCCTGAGTAGCGTTTCTAACGTACGGATTGTGTGGCAGATGTTAAGCACGCCACAGACGTTGCAGCGCAAGAAATCGCTGCCGGACGTTGGGGCGCTGCCGCGGGCGGACGCCGGTATGTCGCGGGAGGAAGTCTCCGCTCTCGGCTCAGCGCGCCGTGAGGAGGTGCGCCGAATGCACGAGGAGACAGAGAAACTCAGAGCTAACCCTCTATTGTATTTAGTCAGTCCGCAAGTCAAGGTAACGTTATCTGACATCTTTGTTCTTTGGGTATCTGCTTTGCATTATTATGGTGCGATGTGTCTTTTAAAAACTACTCTATTGAGGGTCCTTTAGTTTTTTACGTAACGTACGTGTTAAGCCTTTTATATGTTGAGTTTTAGTTCATTATGTAAATATGTACTTATTCAATATATGTAAACCACGGTACATTTGCCTGACATTCGTGTTTTTCCTAATATTCATAATATTTACCATTAATGTATAATTTGTAAAATGTATATGTAGACTACTTTAAACTACTTTTTTCATCCAAAAGACTGCTGCTACTTCACCACTTTTACTTTAGAGAATTTTGTTTTCGTCCAGATTAAAATTTAAAAGAACGAACGAACGCATTTTAAATTATCTTTTTTAAAATAATGTAAATTGTTTATTTCCAGGACTGGTTCTCGCGACAGCAGCTGGTAATATTAGTATTGTTCATAAACATCTCGCTGGGCATTATGTTCTTCAAGTTGCTGACGTAGCGGCGGCGAGAGGCGCAGCCGCGCCCCCATCTCGCATCGCAACGCCTCTTTTGTACATATTTCCCTTGAATAAAAAACATCAACCATTTAAACGACCAATGCAAACATAAATATTAAAGTGAAAACTTGAAACTCTGTTACCACATTACCTATATAATGTACCATAACATTGTATCACATTCGTACAACCGAAATAAAACCACGTATTTACTTATAAGTAAGGACTTTGGTTTGCTAGAATACAATTAATGTTGTGTATATGTGCGGTACGAGACATTAAGTGCAGAAAGGCCCCTTCAGGAACCAAAACATTAAACTTCTTTATGGTGTGAGAGTGAAAATTCTTGAGTCCACTAATATATCAAATCGAGTGTTCGGAGCACGAAATGAAATTAAACCTGCATATTGTAGGTTTTGATCTTGTTATTATTTGGAAAGATTTAGACAAAAAAATATTTTATTATATTTGTTATTATGTTAAATATTTCGTATAGTTACCAAACGCTGTTTCTCTTTTGTTAATTTTGTGAAATTTTATTCTGAATTTTATATATCGTAAGAAAAGATTCTTTCTCTAATATTTTCATCTATAAAATATTGTTTTAATGTATTTATAAAAGAATGCTTTTATTAAAGTTGTAGTAGTTTTACTTTTTTAATTATTACCACAACCAATCCGAAACAAGGATGTGTAGTTTGAAAAAAAAAAACGTTGAGTCCAAAAACCATGTAAATATGTCACATACTGTAAAACGGTGACGTATGTTATGTGATAATAAAACCTTTTTATATATATTGTCGATCGTCGAACGTTTTTAAAAGCGAATTTTAAAAATATTTTCCTACGTTGTACAGTAAACATTGAAAATTATTAGATCTGTAGTGTTCTAAATATGTATTTAAATATTGGTGCACAACATTTTTACAAATTATAGATTATAATATAATACATTGAAGTCAATTTTCTCGTAACCCAATATTTGATACATGTAATGTATGTATGAAAATAAATCATTAATTTAATTATATCTTAATGTTTATTACTATTGTGGACGGTGTGCGAATGAGACTGTTGAATATTTGTACAACGAAAGTTGTAGATACGCGCAATTTTTAAATGTTAAATTAATGTTCGTAAGACAATTTTCGCAGTTTCATTATTGTGTAAAAAAAACATAAGTTATGTCTATAAGAGTTTTATTTACTTGTATCAATTTTATCTACGTTTCACAAATAAAATACTTTAACAAAAATCTATAGCGTATTTTATTTTTCTCTACCTTTTTACACACCAAAAAGTTTAATACCAGCAGTTTTTTAAGTACAATCATTAACTACAAAATATCTAAACAATTTATGTTCTATTTTGTTAGACTCCTGACGGTAACATGGAACACGATACATGAAACTTGATCCAACGTCAAAGGAATACCTATCAATACTTAGTTGTTTTGAAAGTAAAGCGGTGACAATAAGTTGTCCGTGTTTAAATTAGTTTGGCGTAAGTCTTTTTTTATATTAACAAATTAATATAAATAATAGCATACCATGGACATAAAAATAATCCTCAAATAGTATAGAACCCAGGTAAACACGAAATTAAAACCACCCCGAAACTCCGTTTTAATCTTGCTTCCTCATGAACGTTTCATCAATTAGATTAATGCTATATGGCTTCCTTCAGTAGGAAGGTATTCCACTGGTCAGTATTGAATGGACATCAGTTTGACCTAGTTTATGTTCAATATTGTGATAATATGCCGAAAAATAATAAGGGCATTAATTACGGCAGTCAGGAGAATATGCCGGTATTTTTTTTAGTTTAGTTTAGTTTAGTTTTTTCGTTTTTAAAATAATGTGCGTTTTAAAATTGTGTTTGTTTGCATAAACAGTTAAGTTTTTTTTAATTTCATCCATTTAGTCTGTATTACAAATTTATTTTTTTGTTTATCAAGGAAAAAGAAGATAACGACGATCCGATAGATTTGGACGATTTATTGCCAAAGATCGGTGAATTTGGAATTTATCAGAAGTTATTATTGTGGTTGGTGTGTTTGCCCGCTTGCTTGCCGTGCGGCTTTTGTGCCTTCAATCAACTCTTCATGACGGACGTGCCAGACCACTGGTGTAGAGTACCAGAATTACAAAATTTCAATTTAACAGAAGAACAGCGCAAAATAATGTCTATACCACGTAAGGTAAAACTATACCACAACTTTTTTCCTGCATCATTAATAATTAGGTAGAAAACAACAATTAAACAATATTCGTACACTTTATTAATTTTAAGTTTTATGTTTTGTACACATTCAAATTTTCGTGTTCTAATTCGTTAAATTGAATTTAAAATAAAAAGACGAAAATTATAATAGATTAATTAATAAAAAGAGACTGAATTATTTCTAAATCAAGACTTTACATACAATGTCACCCGTACATCCAAGAGAAACTCACGTGAAATGGCATAACATATTCTTGCGCCTTCACCTTGTTGCAACCTTGTGTATTGACACAGTTTCTACACACCGCAGTTATCTTTTACGACGTAAGATACATAACTACGTTAAAGTTAAAGAGAAAAAAAATGTAAAAACGTGACTTTGTCTCCAATATTGATTTAAGTACTTAATAAAGTGTATTCATAAAATTTGGTATCATTACATTATTATTTTACTGCCATATGGTATATATTTTAATCGATTCTGCTCTTATTTAATCTAGATGCTGTATGTAATTCATCGAATAACATACATATTACAAAAAAGTGATAGACACTTAAAACCAGTTCAGGAGACAGAGTCACTTTAGAGCTTTAGTAAAATTGTTTTGGTCTAATAGAAGTTTTTTTTATTTAATTTAATAATTACACACTAAACTAATTAACCTTTAACCATCCGTTACCTCAATTTCATAATTGCTGAAATTACGTTGACATGCCGACCATGGAAGGTTGGTTAATCGGGAGAAGAACGACTTATTTATATTTTATTTATTTTTAGGCAGACGACAACACAACTTTTGAAAAATGTTCTCGTTATTCTGTAAATTGGACCGAAATTTTATCAACGGAAGAAAAATTTGAAATAAACACGAGCTGGCCTTTGGAGCCATGTTTTGATGGATATGCATACGATAAATCGGAAGTAAAATCTTCCATAGTTATTGACGTAAGTTTCTATTTATTTAGTACATATTTGAGTGTGGTATTATCAAATGAAAATAATTTGTGGGGATTGAAGAATTAAAAATGATATTATAATTATCTTTTTTAGTCTTTTCTAGACGGCGGCAGGGCCATCCAATACTTAGTTCGCATGATGTATCGACCTTAACACATTTTAAAATTGTAATTATTATAACTTTTAACGAAAACTTATGTTAGGGATAAAAGAAGATTAATTCGGGTTCATTGTCACGCTGTATCTCAAATATGCTAACTTCATATTTATGTTTTATCTAATTTCAGTTTGATTTAGTTTGCGACTTTGACGTTTACCCAACTTTGGGGCTGGTGGCTCTGAATGTTGGAGGGCCTATTGGGGTATACAGTTTTGGAATATTGAACGATCGAATAGGCCGCAAGAAATCATTTTTTACTTGCCTCACGACCCTTCTCGTTGGCAGTTTGATGACAGCATACGCACATGAATATTGGTTTTGGGTACTTGCGAGAACAGTTGTCGGATTAACTATACCGGCCGTATATCAAATACCATTTATAATTTGTAAGTTATATAATTTTGGCAACTAATATGCTTGTAAGTAAAGTGAAAATTTAATGATTTTATTTCATTTTTAGCTTTGGAACTGGCTGGACCGAATTATAGATCGTTCGTAACAGTGATGACATGCATATTTTATACTTTGGGATTAATTTTATTATCTGGTGTTACATATATGTTAAGGGACTGGAGATCACTGGCCTTAGCGACGTCCGTTCCCTTTTTCTTATACTACTTATATTGGTTTGTTTTGCCGGAATCCCCGAGATGGCTGCTAATGAGAAAGCGGTTTGAAGAAGCTAACAAAATTCTGAAATCTATAGCTAGAGTTAATGGTAAAGAGTTGCCGGTAGAGTATACGAATAAAATCCAAAGGCAGGTTCTTGAACAAGCTATGAGTGGGGATAAGGAAGCAGAGACAGCCAGTATGTTTGCTTTGTGTCGAACTCCAAATATGAGGCTCAAAACATGCTTGATCACCCTAAATTGGTGCGCCTCAGAAATGGTATATGTCGGCTTGAGTTACTACGGACCAGCAATAGGCAGCAACCAATATATGAGTTTCTTTCTATCATCGGCGGTTGAAATACCAAGTTACCTTGTTTGTTGGGTGCTCATGGATCGAGTTGGTCGACGATGGCCATTGTGTTTGTCGATGGTTATAAGTGGTATTTTTTGTATAGTCACGGTGTTGCTCCCGAATGGTAAATAAAACTTAATCTAACTTTCTCTATTTCTATATATGCTGTATGTTCTCATAAAGCTTCAATTTTTATGTTTAAAAGTGTGTATATATGCACCCTAATAATAAATAATATTTACAATTCACAGATGCTGAAACGGAGACACTCATCCTGTACCTAATATCGAAATGTTTTATTTCGGCATCATTTCTGATAATATATCCATACGCTGGTGAACTTTACCCAACTGAACTTAGAGGTGTTGGTATCGGAACGTCCGCCTATATTGGAGGATTAGGCTTAATCATTATACCTTTTGTTAATTATTTAGTAAGTATTTTTCGTAACGTGTATAAATACCTTGTATACGGGGTTAGTGATCCCTCATCTACCATTAACAGCTTTGACATAGTAATAGCATAGTGTAATCGTTTTTCCAGGGATCCAGTAATCTAGTGTTGCCTTTAGTGGTAATGGGAGCAGTGTCGGTAGTGGGAGGGTTAACGGCATTACGATTACCAGAAACACTGCATACCTCATTACCTCAGACAGCGGAAGAGGGTGAGGAATTTGGAAAAGACTGGACTTATGCGGACTGTTTTAAATGTGGTGGTCAAAGGTGAAAATTTATTTTACATGTATCATTATTAACTTCTCTTTAAACTTTATTAATGAAAAAACATTAAATAAAATAAATATACTTTCAAACAGACCAGTGGCGGAGGCAGAATCGTATGAAAATCTTGACCAATTAGAGCTAACACAACCACCGACTGAAATGGACGATGAAGTATCGGAAATGCCTACTATTCGAAGAAGTTCCATGCGTAAACTTGTCCGACAAGCGAGCATTGTTGAAACGCAACGAGACTTAGATGGAAACATGAAAATGACGTACTGGTTTTAATTTTTAATAAATTCATAAGATCACTTATTACACCGTGTTTATCTTAAATTGTTTAAAGATGAAAGGAAACTGTACTAAAATTATAAAGAAAGCATCCTTTGGAGTTAGGAGCTAGGAGCACTAGGAGCGTCATCAATGAGGATATAAAATATATAAAAGTAAATAAAATAATAAGCGTCATCTTAAATTAGCGTTATTGTGTTACCATGGCCTGTTCCACTTACTCTTTGCTCTTTGCTTCAATATAACCTATGATACCTAAAGGTCTATGTTACCAGGTCATAAAATTAAAAAAAAAACCTTAACCTATGACTTGGCTGTCACTGTCGCTGTCAATAAGTGGCCAAGTATACAAAAGTATTCTCTTAGTTATTTCTTCTATAGCCTTAAATCTTGATAAGTTTATCAATTAAAAGGATACTAGATTATAGTACATCATGTGGTACTTAAGAAAGATTTATTTTTTATGTATTCTTTTGATATGGACATTTGTTATAGTAACGGGTCATTCGCATTCCCATGCGCATTCACATTCGAGTGGAAATGAACCCCCTGCGTATAAATACTCGTCAAGTGCTAACCAAAAAAATGAAAATCAAGACAAACTTCCGGAAACCGACTACGATTTATATGTGCGAGCATTAGGGTCTACTATTTTTATAAGTATAGTTCCCTTCTTTATTTTGTTTTTCATTCCAATTGACGGCAGTGTTGAAAAACAGCCACTGCTAAAGATATTGCTGTCCTTCGCCTCCGGGGGACTTCTAGGCGATGCATTTCTGCATTTAATACCACATGCGCTAACATCGCATGATGATGGCCATGGGCACGGCCATAGTCACGGTCACCATGAAGAGGGCCAGCATGAACCACATGACATGACAGTTGGTCTAGGAGTTCTCGGTGGAATTATAACATTCCTTGTTGTTGAAAAAACGGTGCGTCTATTCAGTGGAGGCCATGGACATTCTCATAGCACAGACAAGAAAAAAGATGATAATAAATCAAAGAAATCAAATAAACCTAAAAAGGAAGAAATTAAAATAGCTGGATACCTTAACCTAGCAGCTGATTTTACCCACAATTTTACAGATGGATTGGCAATTGGAGCTTCCTTTATAGCTGGACAAAGTATAGGTTACATTACAACTATAACTATATTGTTACATGAAATTCCCCATGAGATTGGGGACTTTGCAATCCTTGTACAATCTGGTTGCTCTAGAAGAAAAGCTATGATGTTACAATTGTTAACAGCTTTTGGAGCTATATCTGGGACTGTTATTTCTATCTATCTCAAGGGCTCTAGTGATGGTCTTGTTTCATCACTTATTTTACCATTCACTGCTGGAGGATTTATATATATTGCAACTGTATCTGTAATACCAGAATTACTGGAAGGGTCAAATAACAAGTTTTCACAATCGGTCAAAGAGATATTGGCTCTTCTTGCTGGTGTGTATATGATGGTTTTAATAGCACAATATGAATAGAAATATATGTGTAAATACAAATAATTGTATTTGTAAATTCAATTGCTTACATAAAACATCACAAAATTATTTTTTTTAATTCTTTTAAATTAAGGAAATATTTTTTTAGAATTAAAGGATTTTAGAAAAACTAAATGTTTTCATTTCAATTTTAACTACTTGTAGATAATTTACCTCATTATTATTTAAGAAAATTACAACAGTTCAGTGCCACCAATAACTTTTAAAGGGTCTTTTGCTATACGCCAAAGCCTAATTTGTTTGTTTTAAATATGTTCTGAAACCTGGTTACTTGAGTAATACAGCTTCATTTGATCAACCTATTGTATCAATCTTTCAACATTTATATGTTAATATTAGCTCTGCACAGATTTGCACAGCCAAATACTAACCATAATGCTTGTCAACTTAATACCATCACTTAATGTGTGATGTCATTAGGCCATCAGCAAAGCTTCTGTTAACAAGTAATAGATTATACTTAGATCAAGGACCAATTTTATAAAAACAGAAATAAGAACTAATGGGATAAGAGGAAAATTAAACAAATAAAATGTAGAGAATGCAGATGTTTATTACTTATTTACTTCTTCTTAGATACACCAACAGTACGACCTCGTCTGCCAGTGGTTTTGGTGTGTTGACCACGCACACGGAGACCCCAGTAGTGACGCATACCCCTATGGGCGCGGATTTTCTTAAGCCTTTCTAAATCATCACGTAGTTTGGAGTCCAAGTTTGAAGAAGTCAACTGACTGTATTTACCATCAACAATATCCTTCTGTCTATTCAAGAACCAATCCGGAATCTTGTATTGTCTAGGATTTGACATAATAGTGACAATCTTTTCCACCTGGAATAGCAATATGAAATAATTATGATCTAAGTCACGTAAACAATAACTTACAAAGAGTTTTTTAAATAGATTGATCACACAATACTAATATTTTCTTTCAGAATAAAAAGATAAATACCTCTTCTTCCGTACATTCACCAGCGCGCTTATCCAAGTCGATGTCGGCTTTTTTTAGGACAATATTGGAGTATCTTCGACCAACACCTTTGATAGCAGTCATGGCAAACATAACCTTGCGTTTGCCATCAATATTCGTATTCATAATACGAAGAATATGTTGAAACTTGTCCGGTATCACGAGCGACTAGAACACAGTAATTGAACATTTAGTATGAAAATAACTCTATTATTGTCATTAATGAAATATAATCTTATTATCTGAAAGTTTTAATATCTAAATAACGTATAGATTAATATAAAAATGTAAGATTAAATACCATTGCGACTAAATTCTATAGCCTATCGTCGGAAAAAGAACACAAGTCAACTTGTCACAATAGAAAGAACAACAGATGTCAATAATTCAAACAGATAAAAAAATTACAGACTACTTATAGCTTTTTCATTTTGGTTCTTTATGGTTTTTAATTCCTCGATATTTTTCTAAAAAAATTAAATTAATGTTCCTAACTCTTTTACGGACAATACTAAATGGATTAAATTATAAAACTGAGTTTTAAGTTTCAATATACAACGTAAAGAAGAATGGGACGGAAGGAAGATCTGTTTCTATAGTGTGATACAACTGTGATTGCATATTTCGCACTATAATTTCTGTAAAACGATGTCTTATTTAATTATATTCATCTTTAACGTATGTAATATACAAGTATCAAATATTATTGGAAGGACTTTTTAACAAAAAAAAACCGATAAGAACAAGTGTCACTATCTTATTTTAATAAAAAAGTTATAGCCTCTTGTCTTTGGTCCACATTTTATGAGTGTTCCGTCGTGTGCCGGTTTCCACTTTCTTCTGTTAAACGAATTCAATCTAGTTGTAAGTTAAGAAAAAAAAATAATAACTAACCATGCTCGCGGAAACGACATTATCACTTATACAAATATTAGAAAAGACTATATCACCAGGTAAGCTAAAACATGTTTCCTTTCTATAGCATGGCGTTTCATTTTATTGTCAACGGACATTTCGCACGTAGCATGTAACCGCTTTTCATTCTATACTCTCATTATTAAATTATCATAAAACCGTGCGTAGAGTTAAAGATTTAAATTACTAATAAATCATTGAATATTATTATCAATGAGATATTTGATTCGCTGCAATTCTTACTATGACATTTACTTCTGACAATTTGGAAAGAAATTTCTAGCGTATTTAAAATCTATTACAAATGTTGGAAAACACATTTTTCACGATAATGTGGATAATATTTATCTCTGCTATCAACGTTAATAATGTTCGTCCTAAATCTTATCGGCGTGTTGCCTTTGTTTCATTGTGATTTTGGTTATGACAATATTAGTTGTTTTTCAATGACCTTTGAATGTTTTTGTTATTTATGAAGGCACTATGTGAATTACAGATCGAAATGAATTGGAAGCTGCAGAAAAATATCTTGACCATGCAGCCGTCACAAACTTCACCACCTTTATTAAGATGTTGTCAGATGTCCTGGCACAAGGAGGGAATAGCCAGGTGGCGCGAATGGCTGCAGGACTTCAATTAAAAAACCATCTCACATCCAAAGACCCTGTTTTAAAGCAACAGTATCATCAGCGATGGCTTGTGCTGCCTGAAGATATAAGATTATACATAAAGAAAAATGTAAATAATTCTTATTCTAAGTTTTTTTTATTTATAACTTGACCTAAGTTTTAAAACATTTATCTTTTTGTTTAGATTTTAACAGCAATTGGAACAGAAAACAGCAGACCCAGTTCAGCAGCGCAGTGTGTTGCATATGTGGCAGTAGCAGAGCTTCCAGTGGGTCAGTGGAATGACCTCATACCCATGCTAGTAGAAAATGTTGTCAATGCTCAATCTACAGAATTAAAAAAGGAAGCCACACTAGAAGCCATTGGTAAGTGTTATTAACATGTCATTTAGAGAGAATTGCTTAGTTGCTCTTTGTCATAAAATGAAGCTTACAAAATCTTATAAGATATGCTAGTATTGGTACAAATCATAGAAATGTTGCAGCTTTTGAGTGGAAAAGTAAGGTTAGTCAGGGAAAAGTCATTTAACTCCCTCAAATATTGTATAACAATTAAACCCATTCTAGTTGGAGTTTTAATTAGAAATTCATCACTGCTAAGAACTATGGGTAGTCAGTTTAGACTAGTGCATATTTTGCATGTGAGCAGGACCTAGACTCATTCCAGCCAACCCAACTCATGACAGTAAATACATTTAGTAAGGCTAGTATTGCGCCAGTACACTGGCATAGTGTCGGATTTTCTTCCTAACTCATCATCATCAGCCCACTACACGTCCCCACCGAGGGGCTCGGAGCCTACCCTAAGTTAAGGGTGATAGTTCCTAACTATAGATAGTTATTAATAATTGTATAGAAATAAGAGAATTGTAAATGTTACTTAATTTCATGTTGATCCCTAACAACTAACATTTGTAATATAATTGACTTCTAGGCTATATCTGTCAGGAAATTGATGCAGAAGTATTGACGGAACAAAGTAATCCAATTTTAACTGCAATTATCCATGGTATGAGAACCACTGAGCCCAGTAACCATGTCAGGCTTGCTGCAACTCAGGCCCTGTTAAACTCATTAGAATTTACTAAAGCTAATTTTGAAAAGGAAGTTGAAAGAAATTTCATTATGGAAGTAGTTTGTGAAGCTACACAATCAAGTGACATGAGAATTAGTGTTGCAGCTTTACAATGTTTAGTAAGTATTTCATTTAAAAAAAAATAGAAGTAAAGGAATTCAGGAATAGTTTTTTTCTCATAAAATATTGAAGTGTTTGTTTTTATACTTTGATAGTATATGTAGTGGTTATAAAATTAATTATTTATTGTAAAAAAAAAACTAAAAACAACCCAAGAATTAATTTCAATTTCAAAATTGAATTTAGATTGCCTACATTTTTAATATTAAAATACTTTTCAGGTTAAAATTCTTTCTCTCTATTACCAATTCATGGAACCATACATGGGTCAAGCACTTTTCCCCATTACTTTGGAAGCAATGAAATCTGATATAGATGAAATTGCACTTCAAGGTATTGAGTTTTGGTCCAATGTGAGTGATGAAGAAATAGATCTTGCAATTGAAGAGGCAGAGGCGGCAGAAGCAGGTAAATAGTTTACCAAATAACTTTGACTTTAAACTAGAAACTTGAAAAGCAGTTGAGTTATAAAACTTTTATGTCCACAACTTTGCTTTACAGATTGACATATTAGATTTTTATTTTACAGGACGCCCCCCAGTGAGAACATCAAGATTTTATGCCCGAGGAGCTTTACAATATTTAGCACCAATACTTATGCAAAAGTTGACTAAACAAGATGATTCTGATGATGAATTAGAATGGAATCCTTCAAAGGCTGCATCCGTATGTTTAATGCTTCTTTCCAATTGCTGTGAAGATGAAATTGTACCACATGTTTTGCCATTCATCAACTCAAACATTAAGAGCGATAATTGGCGATACAGAGATGCTGCTTTGATGGCATTTGGCTCAATATTAGGTGGCTTAGAAGCAACCACTCTTAAACCATTAGTTGAAAATGCAATGCCAACTCTTATTCAAGCTATGTATGATTCAAGTGTTGCTGTAAGAGACACGGCTGCGTGGACTTTTGGACGGATCTGTGAAATTGTTCCCGAAGCTGCTATAAATGACACCTATCTGAAACCACTTTTAGAAAGTCTTGTCAATGGTTTGAAGGCTGAGCCGCGTGTCGCTGCAAATGTCTGCTGGGCCTTCACTGGCTTAGCCGAAGCGGCTTACGAAGCAGCAGACAGTGGGGATGACAAGCAACCTCAGACTTATTGCATGTCCACCTTCTTTGATTTTATTATTGAACGTCTTCTAGAGACAACGGATCGCCAAGACGCTGCACAGCATAACTTAAGATCTGCTGCTTATGAAGCATTGATGGAGATGGTCAAAAACTCACCTGCTGATTGCTATGTGACCGTTCAAAAGACGACAATGGTGATACTGGAAAGATTGCAACAAGTTTTACAAATGGAGAATCACATTTCTAGTCAAGCTGATCGCTCTCAATTTAATGATCTACAAAGTCTTTTGTG